AAACTTGCAGATATACGTAACGGTTCATAAATTTTGAATCTGATCTATAATAGAAATCTATATTCATATGTATGTTTTGTCAAAATATGCTCAATAAATTTTTCATTTGCTTGGGGATTTTTCAAAACCATCATCGACATTTTTGATAAACCGAGTACTATGATATTACTATAACTTAATGTATATCAACGATGATATAAGTACTTCGCCAAATTTATATTGAGGTACAGTGTAGCAATAAAAGTAACGGTGTCATAGAACTAAATTATTGCGTATATAAGATAATGTTTTAAATTAATACTGGCACTGTGCGATTGCTCTTACTCCTACACGACGAAATGAACATAAAAACTTTTATATTTGTACTTAAGATTGCGAATTTGTATAAAAAATAAAAATTGTCAGTATTAATTTGAAATTACTGAAGCTTTAATTATTTATTGTGCTGAGTTATATTTACTTTACTCAGTTTTGTCATAAATGCATTTTGTACATATAAATGCATAAAATCCAGTCTAGTAATAAATTAAATGGAGATCTATTCTTGAGTTATTGCCCTTTTTATATTTTTGTGGATAGTATTATATGTACAAATATAGAACTAAATTATAGTATTGATTATGTACAAACCAAAGTAATCTATAAGTAGAATAATGTATCAGAAAGACATTGATGCGGTTCCATTTGTATGTTCTGTCCTACAAGAGAGACGAGCTTATGAGCATACTGACAAGGGGCGGGTACTTTTACAGTACCGGGCCAATTATAGTACAAATGACAGAGTTTATACGTTAATCGTTGTATATGCTCAGCCTTCATATTTTTATTGTCATAAACAACGATGTAACGTGTCGGTGATACTGTGCCCATTCGTACATTCTGTGACACCAAAAAGAAATCGTAGACCTCAGATCGGGTTATACATGTATCTACGACTGACCCTGGCAATGGATTCTCCAAACCTCTGGGCTAAAGTTAAAAACACGAACTTGTATAATTAGCCAGTTCGACTTATTAGTATCTCTTTTCTCATTAGTATACTTACACATGTTGCAAATAATCGCGTATTAATACGCTTATGGACCGCTATAACGGTTAGCGTTGGCTGATAATTCGGTTCAATATTTTTGAATGTCACTAACAACTGTTTTACTTCATATTTACCAACAGTATCAATTTGGCCATCGCCAACACCATCTCGGTATACGATGATACGATCTGGGTAACGTTTATTGTGCTGTAATATAAAACATTAAGCATGTAAAACACGAATGTAGTAGAAGATATTAGCTAAGGAATACCTTATAATAAGCTTTCAGTGCTGAAGTCATGCAAACTTGAAGCATGTCCATCAATTCTTGATGACGACCTTGTAGACAAATTTTACTGTGCCAAGTCGTTAGTAATTTATCTAAACTTGCTACAAAACCTGCAACACTTCCTTTTGTGGATTGACCAATTCCTCCGTGATACACATCTATTCCGCATATCATGCAATTCTCCTAATCGAACGAAATAAAATTCATTGACAGTATAAAAAAATACGGTATAAATTCATTAAAACGGTATATTTTTTTTCATACCATTGGAATAGCTAATGTCCAAAGAGCTCCACCCAATTTGCAGTTGATTTGCAAAGCTATTTTTTCCGTTATACTTTTTAACTTATCTGCGCGGCTAATAGTTCTTGATATAATCACTTGAGAAGGCACTGGCATTTCTACGCAACATATTCTAAACAATAATATTATATTAATTATGACATCATATTATAGAGTGTTACGTAACGTAGCGAATTTTTATTCGTGTTGAAAAGTTTTTGTATTTTCGCATTGTCTTAAAAATTTATGCAATTCTTCACAAATTAAAATTATTGACCTCATTCTTGCAGAAATTTTATATAATTATGTTAACTAAAGAAGTAAACATGATTTTGTTTGACGAGTTTAAACTTCAATGTACATCAGTCAAATAGATGAAGAATTACATAAACTTTGATGAATTGCGAAATAACATACAACTTTTCCTACCTCTTTACAGCAGAGTATCTGTCAGTACGGTTAGTAGGAAACACTACAACCATTAAATTTATATTACGTTGTATATTCCTGCGCAGCTCTTGCACATAGCTTTCTGTCCTGTCATCTCGTAGACATATTATTTGCGGTTCCGTAGTAGTCATACCCATTGCTTTTGCTACTTTTTTAAACATTTCGATAAATTCGCGTGTAGACCGAGTATCCTTTTGGCAATGTAAGATGCACCATTGATTTAAATCCGTCTAGAAATGCGAATATATAGTATTGAAAATAATATTATCAAATTCTGTTACACATCAAAAATTACTTACAGTACGTAACATAGGATTTCTAGAGACTACGTTACCCCAGTCTACAGATTTGTGAGGTAGCGATTTAAACCGTTTATCTCGTCCGAAAATAATTTCCTCAGGTTCTAAAAGTCTTCCCTTAAAGTTAACTAATTCATTTTCTAAACGTAAACCCCATTCAGCTAATATATCTCTTGGAATATCATTACTTTGTACTTCTTGTACAAAGTGTTTAAGTACATCACGACGTGCATTAGGCGACATCTTTGTCACTTCATCTAAATCTTTCATTATTCTAAAATCTGAACGAATACTGTCAGTCAAACTTGCTATGTAACATAGCTCGGGAACTAAAAGTACGATTTGTTCTTGCGTCTGTAAATAAAATGTTATTAATAAGTACTAATAAGTATTATTAATTAACTACACAGAATGAACCAATAATAATTACCACCTGAGATACTTTAATATGGTGATAACAAATTTTTTGCAAATGAAATTTTTCTGTACTTTCTATAGTTTGAAAAATATTCGAACTGGCCATTTTTATTGGTTTCACTCCGTAATTTTCTACGATAAATTGCCAGTAATAGAAAATTATTAAATACTTGTCCCGTTGTTGTTTTAATTTTTGCACAATTAACTAATAGCGGCTGTTTAGCATCTTGTATTTGTAGGTTCCAATGCTGTTTATAATAATCTAGTAAAGATATTTTATCTTCTCCTTTTTCGAAAACATATGTTGGGTTTTTGTCCCATGCAATATCGTCCACACGATAAGTTCTATTATTGTATCTTGTAAATACAGATAATCCAATTATTTCTTTCGTCACAAGATCTCTGAAATTTGGTTTCTGTCCGAAGCTCATCCTGCATTTTATAATATCATTAGATTATTGTTATAATAATAAATACTTGCAAAAAAATTTCTAGTTATTACATGATGTCACGAACTGTTTCTGTACGCATAACACGGTGCTTCGCATCTAAACACAATTTCAAGCCTCCTTGATATTCACTAATAGATGTAACATATCCAGGCCATACTTCTAACTTATGTTGCGGTATTGCACGTATTCCTTTAGGGTTAAAATTGTGTTGGCCAATACGAACTAAGCTAAGGGCTCGCATAACACGACCGAGTAATAGATTAAAGAATGCAATGTTGTCACCCATATTTTGTTGTTTCTTAAATATTAGAGTCATTGTTATTGTTGACTGATCCATAGGATGTGTAGATGTTAAAATTTTGATCTGAAAATTGCATGACATTCAATTATTTGTATATAGTTTTGTTTACTACTATTGTTACTTACATCCTGTTTTAATTTTTTGGGTAAACAGAGGGTAACTCCATCAAATACTCTTGTTCGTCCAAGAGTTTCTATATGTTGATTAAGAAGTTTCCTACGAAGTGGTCTAGAGTCTATGTCAGGAGAGAATTTAACTTCATAATTGAATAATCCTTTTTCGGCATCCAATTTGAGATTTATATAGTTTGCGCTCAATTGTATTCTAAAAGATAATTATTGATCTATAATTTATTTAATAATATTTGCGATCGATGTTAGAAAAACTATACATAAATAATAACTTACGATTTTCCACTTGTACCTTGTTGAGGAACTAGCCTAGGTGATTGGAATGATGATACTTCAGATGAACTGGCAGTGTCTTCAAGTGTTATATCCGATAATTTATCAAATACTGCTGTATTATCATCAGATGATCCAGGAATATGTGGTCTTATGGGAGTTTGAGGTACTGAACTATAAAAATATGCGTCTATATGAAA